AACTCGGCTTGTAGCTTCGCTTGGATCCGAGGATCACGAGCAATATAATACGTTATCGCGCAAGACGCACTATCACCATCAAGGTCAGCATAGCTCCTGGAACACAGGTAGCACACTAGCTGACCTGGCGGTCGTGTCTCCGCCGGCAGCGATTAGTGTTTTTGCTTCCGCACTCAACTCTTGAGGTCCATAACGATACCCCTCCCCGTCTCTTCCTTCCAAGAGCTTCGTGAGCATGTCTGCACGTCCGTTTGGAGACCGAAGTCGGTCGGCAACAGCCGCGATAGCTATGCCATTTAGCTTCGGTATAGCGCCATATCCCTCGCGAAACCCAGGAAGACGGCCGATGATAGGCTGAGCCCATGCTGGGAGATATGCGAGAGCAGCAATGGTCTTTCCACGTTTCACGAGCACCTCAATCAAGGGGACCTCCACCATTTCCAGCTCCGTCTTCTTTGAATGGGAGGCCGCTTCAGCGATGGCTTGAATGCCGCTCGCATTCGACTTGGGGATGCGAACAACATCTTTTGCTGATACAAGCATGCCAAAGGGTCGTCCGAATGAGAGATCGGCTACATGATTTTTCAACATGATACGACGCAATATACACAGTTAGTCGATGCGAGTACTCGAGCTGGCAATGAGCTGGACTGACCAATGGTATCAAAAGACCAAAACATGAACCCTGTGTGGATGAATATGCATGAGAGCCAGATCACTCGCGATGAAAACTATGGAAAGCACACACAAGGCATGCAATCAAACCATACTCTGCTATCGTGGACCTTCCACGAGACTGATCCGATGATGCCCTCTGCACCTCCGCTGCCTGCCTTCTGTATATGTGCGCACAGAGCATCCCATTGATCCTCCAGGGCATGGAAGTGCACGCTCACAGTACTCTCAAGGGTTCGTATACTCTGAGGTGAGAACATATGCGCCTCGACACGTCGCTTGCGTGCATGTTCTGCACGATCGCGTGTGGTGAAGATATTCGCGGCCCCACCAGCACTGAAGATGTCATAGAAAGGCGCCTTGAGTGCGCTGGAGGGATGGCTGTAGATGGCCTCGAAGGCAGAGGGGCCGGAAACAGAGACATGGTTAGGGGCGAGGCGAACAAAGGAGCCCATAGAATGTGCCGACTTAGCGTCCAACCAGGCAAGGTACCACGGAAGACTGACCGTGCTGGACATGCAGACGATCCACAGTCTCCGACCACTGGTTGCGACTTATAATCCAAGAAATCCATCCCGAAGTGAACTTTGCGAGGAGCGCTCCAGGATACTCTCGAAGCTGAAGCTGGTCGATGAAGTAGGGAAGTAAGAGCGACAATGTTATGACACCAGCAGACAGACAAGTCAGAGCGGACAAGACGGTCGAGAAATTCAACGCCTCGTCATAAGTCAACATTGCGGCGCGGAAACGGGGGAATGGTAGTGTAAAGTTCGTTGTACATTGGGAACATCATAATCACTATAACATACACGAAATGAACAATTTGATATCGTCCCGATGTAGAAAACAACATTGCCACCGACATGAGCGTCGAGATAAGGATTCAACAGCCCCATGACACTGTTGTGGGCAATAATGGGGCTATAAGAGTCAGTTACGGTTTTGTGAATGACATGTGAACATAGTTTACTCACAAGAAGGCATGATGCGAGCCGTGCTTCGGCAATTGTGTAAACAAAGTTGCATAGTGAGCGCCACAGTCTTCGTCACTTCCATGTATAAGTAACCCTACTGATGTCGTTGATACTCAGTAGAGTACTACTTATTCTGTATCAAGGTATGAAACCGAATAGATGTGCACAATGAAACGGCGAGGGGAATGCGCTCGGCGGAGACAACGAATATGAGAGCGAAATTGAACAAGTCGACCAAAGTGAGAAGTCGAGGAGACTTAAGTTTCTGAACCGCAGACGTAGCGCTTTTGCAGATCAGTTTGCGAAGAGTACCCGCAGGGTAGGAGAACCTCCGCAAATAGCGTCGTGGATACTATGCCGACATAGCTCTCGGTGAATGGTGACAGAGCGTACTCGTTTGCGCTGCCACCTGAGAGGGCTCCTGCGAACAAATCGCAGGCTTTGTACTTGTGGCCAGTACATGCATGCTAGTAAGACCGGAGTCTAGCATAAGAAGTCTAGCACCTAAACTGAGGCTTGGCTTGGCTGTGGAATGCACTATGTCAAAGCTTAGAGAAAGACTAATCGCAGCGTTGCGCACCCAGTATATTTCCGACTCAGTGAGAATCGCGTATCCAAAATTGAATCGTACGGGTGGACAACGTGACGTCAAGAACCCAGTCCGCGTATCAAGGATGGGACGTATTTGAATACATTACATCGGTGTAAAAGCCCTGTTAAGTCATGGTTCCCGACGTAGCTTTGTGAAGTAGATTAGGCAAGTCAACAAGATGTGATCACCTCGGTCAAAGACATTGTGGCCAACAGACATAGATAGAATAGCGGGATGCCCTGAAATGTAGGCCATCAAGTGTAAGATAATGCGTTCGAAAACATTGAACGCACGATTAAAAGAACCATCATGCCAAGGCCCGTTGCTCGCTAATGACGGCGCCCAACCCTTCCATGATGCACTCCTGCCAGCTTTACCAGCCGAGATTGATGACCCAAAGGAGAGAGACCGATAGTGCGCGCGCCCAAATGCACAAAAGCGAGCAAACTTAAGAAGTGAACGGCGTCGTAAGACAAGTGACTGTAAGCCTCGACGTCCAGACTAGGAACCATGCATCTGTGCTTGAGAGATCGTTTTAAGAAATGCATCGATAGTCTTCAAAGAAGTCCCAGCAGGTTTGAGATCAAGTCCGCGGCCCGCGTCGTCGCGTCACTCGTCGTCGCTTGCCATCGTCCACGACTGGTGTCTCATCTCATCTCAGCCTCACTTACACTATTGCTCTTTATCTCGCTCGCATTAATCCTGAAGCCCCCGCCACTCGTTGTCGAGCCGGTTCTCGATTGACGTCGCGCGGAAACTCGCAATATTGCTCTGAAAATGGCGCACTCCCGAACGCACTCCGTCGACACGGAGATGCACGAACTCAACCAGGAGGCTGACTATCTCGAGGAGAAGACTCATATCGTCCCAGGCTCCAACGGTAGCGATGCGAAGCTGCAGAGACATGATAACGACCCTGATGCACAGGCCATGGTCGTCGCGTCACTTCGGTCACAAATCCAGGATCTCTTCTCGCAGGTCTCCCAGCTCAATAGCAAGCTGGTGAGCTCGTATGACAGGGTGTCTGACCTCGAGGATGAGCTGCATGTTACCTCAGCGAATCTACGTTCGACGACACTCAAGGTCTCAGAGCTCGAGCTCGAGCGTTCGCAGCACCTCTCCGCTCTCAGCACAGGGCTGCTCGTCGAGAAGGATCATGTCACCACCGAGCTTAATCGACTCATGGAGAAGGCGACCGAAGAGGCGGCACAACGAGGACAGGCAGAAAGCGCGCGAGCCGAGATCGAGAAGGACCTGGATGACCTGAGCGCGAACCTCTTCAACCAAGCAAACAACATGGTCGCGGAAGCGCGGATAGCGCAGGCACGAAGCGAGCGCAAGGCTGAGGAGACGGAGCGCGCTCTGCGGCAGGCCGAGGAGGTCGTCGGCTTGCTACAGGAGCAGATGCAGGCGCTGCAGGGGGAGAAGGAGCGCGCAGGCAGGGCGGTCGAGGAGATGAGGATCACGATGGGCAAGGGCAAGTGGGTGGATAGGCCGCATGAAACGATGCAAAGCTCGCGTCCACGACTGCTGTCATCGCACGCACCGTACCAGGAGTACCTCATGTTCATCTCGCACCTACGCACAATCCGGCCCGCGAGCCAGCACCCACCGGCCATGTCAACGCTGCTACCATTACCATTCCTCGCCCGGCTAGTCACGGAAGACTCGTGCGTGCAGACCCTGCACTTGTTGACTGTGTTCCACTAACCATGGTGGCTGCAGTGACCCCACCGTTCGACTGGACCTCGCACCTTCGCTCAACTGGCTCTCAAGGAGATCAGTTATATCTGCCATTCACAGCGGCCAGCTTACTGTTGAGCCAATGTCCACCCCCGTTCTATTGGAAGAGCTCGCTCCATCCACGATACCCGGCGCACATCATACCCAAATCTCGTGTGCACTCTGCGGCACGTCTATCATCTCGCCACCTCAATCTGACTCGCCCACTGCAGTAGCGTTCCCCTCAACAGGTGGTCCAGTGCGACCGCACGGCAACAGCTCATGGTCGTCTTCTTTATTCAAGAATTCGATTGTCCAGACGATCTCGGCAGCCAACCATGGTGTCCTTACCCACTCCCGTAGTCAGTCACCCGCACCGCCAATAATCTCAGAGCCTCCCGCGCAAGTCTACATATTCCGCGTTGCTGCGACATCATCCGGTCTCCCGGTTTCACTTCCACTCTCGTCGCAGCAAAACAGCGCGCAGAACCGTCCAACAATATACCCTTTGTGTACGTCAAAATGGTGCCTTGCGCGCCTGCGCACTACATGCTCGATGTGGGCATTCGTTCGGACAAGCATGGTCGAGAAGGTATGGGAGGAAAGTCCATATGTGGCCCCTGTGCGCCCTTCCCCGGCAGGCACCATCAACGGTATCAACGGTCTGGATAAGCATGACGCGGTGAATGGCGTGTCAGAAGCCGACAGGAAGCCTACAGTGCCCCCACGGCGGGCGCGCATGGCGATCGGTGCGCTCTGGGGCTCAGTGTCTCGTAGTCTGAGCAGTAGCGGGAAGGAGCTCGAGGCAGAGCTGCCGAAGGCGGTTCCTGAGAAGCCCCTGCCTAAGTCGCCGACGACACCACTACTCCCGCCGCCTGTGCACCCCTCACTGTCTGCTCCTGCGAGAACGTCGACTGTCCCTCCGACTCCCCCGCCTTTGCCCAAGAGGAATCGTGGCAGGGACACGAAGTCAAAGACCATCGCGTCTCCCAGTGACGATGCTGATCCTAGTCCTACTCTCGATCGCAAAGCCTCGCAAGACGTGTTTACTACACCTGCAGAAGAACCAGCTGCGTTTGTCGATCTGCGCGTTCCGTCACCGACTAGCGTTCCCTTACCTCCGTCATCACCGCCTTCTCCAGAGCCACATGCATCAGTACAACCACCGTCTACAACACATCATATGCAGGAGGGGACCGGCTCGTCACGTAATGGGTCTCCCGCTCCCCCACCATTACCACGCCGCGCGGCCGCACGGCCGCGCCCCGTCTCTGTTATTGTTCCTCAAGAGCCCGCCGCGCCCTCTGAGACCGAAGCCAACCAACCGGAGTCTGTTGTCAACGAACCGAAGGAGAACGATGGCACTCTTTCCGTATTCGGCGAAGTTGGGGAGCAAGCAGTGACCGCATCTGAAGCCGAAGCGAAGCAGGACACCAACGGCGCGCCTCAAGAATCTGAGGCCCCGGCAGCCGAAGCACCAGCCGACGTTGCAGTGCATGAAGAACCTGCTGCGCCTGATGGCCAGTCCGTAGAGCCGGCATCGCACGAACAGGAAGAGGAGCAATCCGCCGTGGAGACCAAGCCAGAGGTGCCGTCTGCGACCATCGCGGTTCCTGAAACTGCTGACACAACGAAGGTTGACGAAGTCCTGAATGAGGATGCCGATGGCAGCCGGTCTCTGCTAGACACATCTTCACTCAACGGGCTCGTAGACGGTGTAGAGGGGCAGTCAGTTCAGGATCGCAAAAACGCGGCCGATGCGGTCGGCTTGACAGATCATCACCCGGCTGCTGATGCGCAGGTCGAGTTACTCAGCGGCGTGCACGATGAGCTGACAGAGACTGCAGCGGATGAACCTGGCTTGTATGTTGGCGATGCAACTTGGGAGGAGCGGGCATGGAAGGAGCTTATAAAGCTGCGAGAGGAGATGTTCTGGGCCAGGATTGGAGGTGTACGGTGATTTCTCTCGATGCTATCACCCAGAGGACGGGGCTAACGGACAATCTATCGTACAATACAATACCAAATGCGGTCGCGTACTGTATCTCTTCCGACATCTGCTCAGAGTAATTATGGGTAACTGGATATGTTTTATGCATTACATGTAGGGTCATCAACATAACACTTTATCGTCACCCAAGTACCTATTCGAACAAGTGGAACGCAGAGACATGAGCATCACAACCTAACCTTCACTGGTGAGTCCTGAATTACATGGCGGTCTGTTCTTGGACGCTTGACTAGCATTCCCGTCTAGCCTACGTTCAGTGGAGCGCAGCTTTCACACTGCACGGCTTTTTGTGCCCATTAGCACGACCATAAATATTGACCTCTGCGGAAGCTGATGACTTCCGTACCTATGATGGTTGTACTCACATACAAGAGAGACTTCACCGCACGACACAAGGTCATGCCGGCACTGATTCCATCCAAGGCCGCACTTTCATGCGAAAACCATATTCGTTCAGCGCAACATTCATTTTTCGCAGCCGTTTCTGCGCTGGCTTTCATCATTTGATTCGACGGTCGCCTTGATACCAGGAATCACGAGCAACGTATTGACACCCCATACCCATAGTCCTATGCAAGACCCTCTACACGTGAAGGATCTTGTGGAAGGTTTTGGTACGAGTCACGATTAGGCGATAGGCAAGAACTGTGGCGGGAGTACTACGGGTTGCCAAATTAGGATTTTGATGGGGCTCTTGCCAAACAAAAGTCAATAGACGCCTTTCCTAGTTTCAAGTGTCGATACAAATCACCGTGCCTGAGGTCCATAATAACCACTCTGCGGCGTTACTGCATGCTCACGCCTCATCCGCACCTACCACCTACAGCTGCTTTGGGATAGAATATATAATTCATTCCACAGGCCGTCTGCATATAATCGACTATTTTATTAGCGCCATTCACACGCTGGCCAGAAATAAGCAGGATACAGCCTCGCTTTATACAGCCGTCTGTGGTCAGGACTATTCTCACCGAATATGAAGAATAGAGAGAGAGCCATTAATCTCGCGTAAAGTGGATCTAATAATGCACAACCTGATACCTTCCGTGCAACCGTGACTACGTCAGAGAGCATCGCATAACTATTACTCTCGCACAGTTTGCGTCAAGGTAAGTACCGGCTGCCACCTCTGGATACCGAGCGACGTTGCTTACTGGTTGAAATATCCAGATTATTATGCGTTGTAGTAAATACGCGATCAGGCCGATTGTCTAGCACATTTCTGAGGGGCGTACTATAAATGCTCTGAGCAGCCGTCTCTAAGTGATCTATGGCCATGCGGTGATCTTCCGTTGCCGCACTGTAAGTCGAAACTCAAACTACTGACCGACGACGCCGTACAGTAACAACGCGGTCACGAGAACCAGTTGTATCCGATCGCCGTGTGTCGCAGGATTGTATACATGATCAGAATCTGATCGCCGAGCCTTTCCTGAACTTTGTATACGCATGTAGCTGAATGTAGCCGTCTATAGCAGTCTGCTTCATGGATAGCCTTTGATAGGCACGGCAGGTCCGTGTGTAGACGGGGCTCCGCTGCGGGCGATGATGGAGACCAGGGGCACCGTTATCCGCGATAGTAGCCCCTTCTTCGATCGAATCAACTCTCAGGGCGCATGACGACGTCCCACATGTCTGAGGGGCCGAGCTAGTGGTGGTGGTGGGAGTCTTTCTGCTTCTTCGCAACCGCAGCTCACCCAGCTGTGCTCTCCGTTTGAGATTCCCAAAGATGGACATCGCAACGCCAGAAGATCTAAGACACATTCGTAGACTACAACACATTCAATCCTCACGCGATCATACCCAACTAACCACGATGAGAACAAGGCAGGTCAATCTGGAACCCAAGGTAGATAGCAGATCTTCTTCCCTCAAGTACATCTGGGCACAGATCTGAATCTCGCACAGATCTCAGGCCCTTTCAAGCAACCCAAAACGTCAAAGCCAAGACGGTCCGATTTGATTGCGCAACGATTCGTGAAACCCTCTATGATTACATGCACTTGCAAGTTACTACTTGATACTCTAGATCTTCTGTTACCACCTGTTTTGCGCCGAACGCTTGAAGCCCTTCAGAAGACCACCTTGAGAACCCTGGGACAACCACTATGTACAGTATGAACCTGCCCCTTTTGACGGCTTGCGTATAATACACGAGTGCCCAAATGTACCTCCGAGCTCAGCACGAGCAGAGCCGGAGGTGAAGCGTGGAGAGCAGAAACGATCAGGATGCGATAACTGGACGACAGGGTATAAGGGTATAACCAAGACGGCCGACCGCGGGGGCACGAGCGCAGCGCAACAGGTGCGACAGTGTACAGGCGCCGCTGGCGACGATGGCGAAGCGAGCGGCTGATGGAATGAGCGTGGGGGCGTGGCGACGACGCATGCGGGGCCACGGCGCATGCCGGTGCGGATGTGGGGTGTTTTGATCAGTGCTGGGGACGGACGGCGGATCTGGCGGCGCACACGGGGCATGAGAACGGGGGGGGACGCCCGAGCGGGTATGACGTACGCTATGTACATGCGGATGGTATGCGGCGCGTGACGCGAAGCCTAGAGCGCCTCTGCCTTGTAATCCGACGCAGGGCTGCCCAGCTCGGTGTCAGACACCGCCGACTCGAGGTCGGCGACGCGCTTGCGCTCGGTCTCGACCGCGTAGGGTGGGATGCTATCATCGCCGACGGTGAACGTCTGCATCTGCGACCACATGTGTCAGCATGGAAGTCCACATGTGGATGTGGTCGTGAGGGATGTGGACAGTCGGATCGCAGGGCGAGATGGATGGGACAGGGCAAGCAGAAGCGCTTACCTGGACGTGCACGCCGCTGAGGTCCTTCGTGTGCGCCGACTTTGGACGTCCGACGTTGCTTGCGATAGGCTGGTTGTTCATCGAGCGGAAGCCAACGACGCCTGAGTGGCTGCTCGCGGTGCTATGATTGCATAGGATCAGCGCGCCACTCGAGTTTCAATAGAGCGAGTACGTACTAGATCTCCGGGCCCTCGCTTTTGAACTTGGTCAGGCGACGCACAGCACGGCATGCAACGATCTAGCAACGCGGGTGATCATCAGCCGGGCGCACGGTTGCATGGAAACGGGATACGCACTGTTGATGCGATCGCGGCAGGCACGTTGAACACGATGCTCATGATCGAGTTCAAGTTCAGCACCATGAAAATCGTCGCGATCAGGTTCGCAACGAAGCTGTACAAGAGTTATGCATGAGACAAACGAGCGAGGGAGAAGTGCTTACGCGACCATGAAGTAGATGAGACCGTCCTTGAACAGCATGCCAACGAGCTGCGAGCGGTGCGCGCGGTTGTATAGCTTGATCGCACTCAGTACCATGACAAGCGCATCAAAACACATTGAGTAGATGAACGTCGCCGCCAGGGTGGTGTTGTTCGTGTGGGTGATGGCGCAGCCCTCGCCGGGAATCCACTCAGCCTTGAGCAATACACCTAATAGAAACCAAATGTCAGAGCGATCTAGCACAGATGGAGGCAGTCATGGCGCACCCTGCAGGATCAACGACCAGTGACCGAGGATCACGAACACAAGGGGGATGACAATGTACAGGCTCTGCGACCAGAGTGCCATCCTAATGAGGGGTAAACGTGATGAACTACTTGGTCCTAAGTGTAGACATACGTGCGGATTGACAAGTTGATACTCGCTAAGCCCACTGCAGCGTCGCCGGCGAGCTGGTCGAACGTGTACAGCGCCTGGCAGTTGACCTCCCTGGAAGCGATCGTCTTAGGTCGACTGTAATCGGACGCACAAACAAGACCCACTTTACAGAGTCAAGGGCGATCAGGCTAGTGACAGTCAATGCGTTAGCACGTACGAGCACGATCGATCATGAACACGCACATTCCGATCAATGCGAAGAAGAGGCAGTATCGTCCAGCCATGTAGAAGATCTATTGCAGGAGGTGAGACGACGATGCTTTTGAACATGCGCGCCGCGGACTGACCAATGGCCATTGGAACTTCCGCTTGCCGGTGACGAAGGACCAGTCAAAGTCAAGCGTAGTCACAAACTCCCAGCTGAAGAAGACGCGTCAGGAACGGGGATTGACAGAGTGTAGTGCGGACGACGGACAAGTATACGCCCGCCAAGCAGTGCATCAGCTTGGTGAAAGCACCTGCGAAGGAGGTACCGGTGAGCACGACATTGAGAGCGGTACACAAAAGCACACACTAGCATCAAGCTCCAACTCCGTTGGTGAGCTCCAGTCCGGCATGGTGTCTGAGAGATTGAAGGTGGTCGACTGGACTGCAGATCAACGGGGAGGAGACCGACACCGCCTTAAGACATTGCGCCAGGCAAGGCCCAGATATAGACGAAATTTTTGCCGTGAAAGAAGCTCGCTGGCATCGCGAAGGGCTGCATGTGCAGGGGTTCACGTCAGTGCAGCCGAGAAGGGAAGGCCGAGCGCGGAAATAGCGCGTACGAATATTGAGCTGGAGCCGGCATCAGAAAAGAGGAATATTGGATTCCGTCAGGCAGCAGCGGCGTCAATCATGCCCTCCGGCGCTGGGAGTGCCTGGAGTGGAAGCTGTTGTTACGAGAGCCACTTCAAGCACACCGACCGTTCAGGCAATGGCAACCACACTTGCCCTATCTTCCGCTGATTCTAGTGTTGGCGCTGGGCACGCGAGCACGCGATTCGCGCCCCCGTACGCAAAAAGCCTCCGCGTTCTTGGGCACGAGACGAGGCCGGATCGAGAGGATCCTCATCTCGACAAGCGGACGTCCAAATGAGGAAGGTGCTAATTTACCGGTGATGAAGAGAGACGCCCACCTCGATTGACCTGGAGGCATCCCACTGGCCACCGCCGTCCATTCATTCGTCGGATCAGGACAGATGTCCTCCCACTGGACCCTGTTCGCACCCGCTTCTCTTTCCCTTTCTGATACCGCCCTTGCCATGCCCCGGACATTCTGTCTCCGTAAACAAGGCCTCTGGCCTCAAATCGCGACCTGGCGGAGGATCGTGTCCTCACTCCAAGTGTACCCACTCCAATATGTATTCCACATTCCCCACCACGGAGCACGCCCTGCTGCTCCTCACACTCGTTGCTATTCTATATGTTTATCGATCTGTCGTCCGCCGACGCAGCGAAGACGTCCACAGGCTGCTTACCGCAGTGCGTTTGCCGAACGGCCCCTGGTGCAATGCAAATGCTGACCTTCCATTCCGCTCGGAACCTAGCCTCGCGATGTCGCCAGTCTGTGGTGGGGGCATGAGCTGCTCGCCTTTGAGGGAGAGGCAACCGAGATGTACACCCGGTGGGCATCCGTCTGCGGGCCTATATTCAAGATCAAGGCAGCCCTCTTCCACCCTGACATTGTGAGTTCTGTTCGGGTCTCCTGCCTCGCGCGCGATTCAGAGCGCCTCTCCCTAGGTGGTGGTGACGGATCACGCAGCCGTACAGTACATCTTCCAGAACGTCGACGATTATGGTCAGTCCTGCTCTTTGCTTCGATTCCCGGGGACTTGCAGACTTTAGGCGCATCCCTTCCTTCCTCTCGTCTTGGCGCTTCCATACTCGAATGTATTGACTGAAGCCCACTTTGCAGTGAAGTCTCCGGCGTTCAGACCTCCCGTAGCCAATGTGCTCGGCAAAGGACTTGTATGGGCCGAAGGCGACGACCACAAGAACCAGCGCCGCATCCTTGCCACCGCATTCTCGTAAGTCTTCTGCTTCTATGCGGCTCGATCCTGCAAGAGCACGGGACGTCCCGTGCTCTTCAAGGATCGAGTCCACCTTCCATAGATATGATAGTGGCGCATCCCTGACGATAGCACTACTTTGAATCCATTCCGCATGTGGTCCATCTTTCCAATAGCCCCGAGGCGGTCAAGGGAATGTCCGATGACATAGCGGAATGCTCTGAGAAGGTCAGTCCCACTTACCTTCCTGAATGTGACACATCTGGCATGCTCACGATCCGAACTGCTCGCAGCTCGAGAGCCGCCTCACGAACCACGTCCTCTCCCACGGCGGAGGCAGCACCGTCAACATCGTCGAACACACATCCACCTGCACGTGCGTGCCTGCGCCCGCTCACCCGAACCCCGAAACTAAAACGGCGCTTTGCCTTCCGTCAGACTCGACATCATCGGCCGCGTCGCGTTTGGCTACGACTTCAAGGCGGGCCAGAGCACCGAGGCGCAGCAGATCCGCGCGTCCTGGGAGGGCCACGTGAACAGCGGCATCCAGTTCGGCGCGTTCATCGCGATGCTCGTCATCCGCGCGTGCCCGTCGGTATTCCTCCTCCCGCTGCCCGCGATCAAGGCGGGCGGGCGCATCCGCGAGATCGTGAGCAAGCTCTCGATGCGCCTCCTCAGGCGCGGCGCGTTCAACGATCGCGGGCGCGACATCCTGAGCATCCTCATGAAGAACGACGGCGCGCGGGCGGCCAAGGAGGAACGCCTCACGCCCCAGCAAGTCGTCGATAATGTGCGTATTGCACCACCCCTGCCATTCTGGCTTCGCGCGAGATCCGCGCGTCCGGAGCTGTCTGCTATGCGTCGGCGCCCATGTCAGTGCTGACGCCCGGTTTGAACTTTTTCAACAGATTAGCACGTTCATGATGGTCGGTCACGAGACCACTGCAGGGTCGCTGAACTTTACTCTGCTCGAGCTCGCGCGCCGTCCCGGGTTGCAGCGGCGTCTCCGGGAGGAGGTGCGCCGGAAGGGGCGCGAGCTCACGTACGAAGACGTCCAACGCCTCGAGCTCCTCGATGCGGTGGTCAAGGAAGGGTAAGCTGTATCCCCCGACGCTCGTGCTCGCGTCGCCTTACTAATCACCTAACTGTCCCGTGCTTCTTGCTAGGCTGCGCCTGTACCCCGCTTCTCCCCAGACCGAACGTGTCGCTCTCAAGGATGATGTTATCCCGTTGAGCAAGCCCGTCCGCACGAGCGACGGCACGAGCATCATATCGCTCCGCGTGGCCGCAGGGCAGGTCCGAGTGTCTTCCCTGTGCTCGGCTGTCATCTTGCTCACCAGCGCGCGCACGCTATAGGTCTTCCATATCCCGTTCACGACCATGCACGTCAACCCGGCCGTCTGGGGCCCAGACGCAGCCGAGTTCAAGCCCGAGCGTTGGCTCGTGCCTGGGGGCGTGCCTCCCCCGTCTGAGCTCCCCCACGGCTGGAGCGGGCTCGTCACCTTCTGCGACGGGCCGCGCAACTGCATTGGATATCGCCTCGGTATGTGTCCGCCCTTTCTCTTCGGCTCCCCGCAGCGAGTTCGACCCTAGCTCCCTGCGCGGGCCTTCTCTGTCGCAATTGAGGCTAGGAGCTTGAAGCTTGAAGCTTGAAATTCGAACCTTACCCTTGCTGACTTGCCGGATGTGACTAGCCATCTACGAGTTCAAGGTGATCCTCGCGACCCTCGTCCGCTCGCTCGAGTTCCGCGAGACGACCGCCGAAGTGCACACGCGGATCTCGCCGACGCTGCAACCGGTGACCGACGGCCAGGGCGGGCTGCTTCCGCTCTACATCTCGCTCGCTGCATGAGCCGCGGGTAGTTGCCACACGCTGCTCCCGGTCGCTAACTAATGAAGAAAAGGGAGGGCTGCTTTGTGGCGCACACCCGTCGGTGGCGCTGCACGTGCTCATGGAGGTTGGGAGGCCACTGTTGTCAGTATTCATCTACGATACCCTCGCATAGACATCGCTATTGTTTGGACCTGTTGTATGCCCGAAGGGCGGTAATGGAAGTTGCGCCGTAAACGATGCTCAGCTGACGAAGATAGCTCAGGGGACGCATTGGATGGGAAAATTGGTCATCCTCGCGTAGTTAGGTTGACAAAGTTGGATGCTGGTAGTGAAGGCATCGTGCACATGGCCGTGCTCTGGCCATGGCTAACGCCGTTGCGCTCGGGGCCCCGAAAGTTGCCTTGCAGCACCAAGCGCACAGCGGTCGCACGGACCCTTGTGCCCCTGTGAACGATCTTCCAAAGTCTGTGCCGTGCGCCCGCAGCGAACCCTAGCGTCCGCAAAACCGCAAGTCCCAGGCCTCACAGTATCTTCTCGGTGATCTACATCGCAGGCGATGCGTTTGTTCCCAGTTAGGGCTGTCTTCTGAATCTCTCTCTACAGATCCCGCGAGCCTCTAAGAGTTCTCTGCTTCTGTGCTTCTGTGCTTCGTCATTTTGAAGTCTAGTTTATGCGTACGGCATGCCTTCTGCAGTCTGCAGCCCTCAATGAATTCGACGGCGAGCCGCTCCAGCGGGCGGCACGCCAGGCCTCCCCAGCTGAGCCAGCGCCTATTTGCCTTCGCCTGAGACGTTACGCGGCGGCCAGAAGGCCCCGGACATCACTGCTTGCATCTCCGCAGGAAGGGCGCGCCCGCCCGCCCGTGATTCGAGAATCACCGACAAGCGCGTCGGCAGCCCTCGATGAACCGCCGGTCATGGCCGGGAGCACACCAACTGACATCACGCAGGGTGGTGGCGACTGCCGGCCGGGCTGCGTCGATATGGCCACTGATGATGATCCAGGGCTTTTCCAACGCTCTCGGCGCTCGCGCCTGGCTGCGGGCTTGTGTGATGTGGGATGGCGTGTGCCGGGCCATGCAGTCTGGCGCACCCTCGCGACGACATGCGTCACGGCGTCGGGGAGGGCCATCTCCAGAGGTGCGACGCCACCGCAGCGCAGCCGCGAATCGGGAATCGGGGGCGTTGAGAGAACCGCTGGAAATGGGCGGACCCGACGCTCAGAAGGCGGTCCTGCTGACGAAATGAGTAGGCCGCTTCCTCGGTGAGGCATGTCCGCACTCGTCTTCTGGGCGTGCCGAAGGACATCTCGCCTCGAGGATAGGATTTATGCGTATTGAATTGACCGATGTGGACAGCGCGTGGCTACCGCCGGGCCCCCATCAGAATATGGGGGCCGAGAGTGCGTGCGTGGAGGCGTGCGAGCAACTAATTTTCGTTTCGCGAGGCTGCACGGTCTGGATGCCGGCGTGCGTGGGTCGATGAAGGGCGTCCGCTGGCGAGGGCGCAGATGCAGGCTTTGGCGATGCCATCGACTTCGACGTCGGTTGTGCGCAGGGCAGGAAGCTCAACATCACTTTCTGACTTCTGCCCCCGAGCTTAACCCATTCTGACAAAGGCCGTCGGCCAGACCAGTGATGCCGCTTGCTGCGCGCCCCGTCGTGACTTCGCTTGCTTCGACGTGTTGACGGGGGCTGACGTTGAGAGGAGCAGCCGTCGTAAGCTAATGCCATGCATGACGTCTCGCAGCGCACCCCTATATTCACAACGAGGACTGGGGACTTGCGCGATGTGGCGACGCTTCAGGCAGCGACTCACCACGAAAGAAAGCGGGATCACACCACTCACGAGCATGCGCCAGATACTTGGCTGCGGATATTCAATTTTGTTGAACTCTCAGGCCCAGGGCAGCGTTTAATCTCCGCAACTAGTGCGATAAGAATCACGACATGCTGCCGTATGGGACTTCCTGCGATGTGAATTGGAGCCAAAATGGCCCTCCCAGAATGCAGCAAGGCCTTTCAAGTTACTGTCTTGGTCTTGGTGCGAAGTTTGCAAATGGTGGAGTCTTGCAATAACGTTCTGCGACAAAGGCACGTACTCGGTGAATCTTGATGAGGTGGTTCGAATCGAAGTTCGTGAGAGATTGCGATGGCATAGGCACTCCCATCTTGAACTCGCCACGCAAGCGGAAACATCAGGTGAATCTCCTTCGTAGAATTCAAGACTTTGCAAGGGTATGATTGCACTCAGGAGGTACACTGTGATCAGCGTATGTTCCAGAACAGATTTGATAACGTGCGAGGGTGAGATACACGCAGCGTTGCATGAGATCTTGGGAGTTAGCGAGAGAGATGCTTCCGTTGATTTGAAAAAGATGGCCTTATAAGGGAGTTGTGGGCGCATACCTTTGCTGAGCTAAGCCTATTGACGCTGGGAACCCCGAACAAGGGAACTTGCCCCATTTGCGACTGAGCTTCAAGGCATATATGCTATGGTCGGGTTATGGTCTAGAGAGCTTGCGCGGCGTAAAGCTGGCTGTATGCGCGGCTCGGTGCGTACGCTGGGATAGTGAGCGTCGTGCGAGGGAGCAAATACAGCGACAACGTTCAGTGGCAGGAGTCTGATGATGGAACATGTGAGGGCATGGATTTCGAAGACCGAGACTCGCAGGGTGCTTTCGCAGGCAGAAGCATCCGCTTCCTTTTCCGTGCGAGACTGCACCGCGAGCTTCCCTCCTCCACCCAGCATGCCTATATAGCGCCCTGCTGTCCCGGTCCTTTTCCTTGCCTCGGTGTCCCCGCTCGAGTCACCCCAGCCGCTTTCGTCCCCAGCGCTCTCCCCTCGCTCCCGCATTCCACGCTACTCCTTAAACGGTCTGCAACATGGTCGATTGGAAATCACCCGCGGAGATCGAACAGGACGGCGGTCAGTGTTTGCACGCTGTGCCCTGATCGCGGGGAACATCAAAATCACGTACGCTGCTGACAATTGTCCACAGTGGCCTTCAGCCGGTTCATGCACGCACTTCTCGGGCTGTACATGTGAGTGGACGCGTTGCACACGCTGGACACAGCAGGAGAGTAACCTGACCATTGTCTCAGCTGGGAGTTCTTCACCTCGCTCCCATTTGATTGGGCCTTTATCAGTGGTAAAAAGAAGTTCAGATGGCCGCTGGTCAGTGCCATCACTGTCGGAGACATGTCCCCCCTCGCTGAGCTAGCTGTAGATCTTTTATTTCGCTGGGCGATATTTCCTTTTGTTCGCGCTGATCGGCATGTGAGTTGCCCTGGTCCATAGTCTTTAGCGCAGATGACTTAGAGTTGCGTGTGTCTTGCAGCGCAATCGCGTTGAACGTGACCAAGTAAGAGCAGTCTAGCTGCTCGTTGGAGCCCTTGCTGACCATGAGCCTGGTGCAGACCTGTCAACTGTCAGGCGTTGTACACATACAACCAAGTTTTCGGCAATGCGGCGATTGGTCTCGCAAGCATCAACCTGTCTCTGCGAACGTACGTATCATTGATTATATGCGCATATAGTCACACTTTGACCTATGTCGGTTGTGTAGAATGGCAGTCTGGTCGCAGGCATGGTACATTGTGGTCCCGCTGGTTGCCGTCATTCTCGGCCACTGGTCGCTGCTCCTCCACGGTACACCGCCTTATTTACTTTGTCCTTGATTGGAGCTAAGATATGTGTCAACAGGTATCCTGATCAAGGCCGCCTGGATCCCGGGCTCAGGCTGCGCGATCACGAACACGGACAATAAGCTCCTCGCTGCGACGTTTTTCTACTCTATGGCGTTCGACTTCTCCGTGCTCACGTTGACCGCGTGGAAGCTGGCGTTCCCGCTGAACCGCGAAAAGCAGAGCCGCATCGTGCAGCTCATCTTCCACGACGGGCTCATTTTCTTCATCATCGCGTGAGTGCCGCAGCCTTCCGCCCCCGTCTGCGTTCTTGCAACTCAATATGGCGGGTCCATGTACAGCTTCCTGGCCAACCTGCTCGCGGCGATCTTCATGATGCTCAATCTCAACGCGGTGATGTCGATTATCGCTAACGTGCCTGCGGCTATCGCGTCGACCGTAAGGCTTTTGAGAGCTTGCTTTTCGATGCTGTATCAATCTCCTCTATCGCAGATCGTCGCTTGCCGTGCTGTTCGCCGGTTGAGCAACTACACGTCTACCGGCGTCGAGGTCTACGGGTACGTATCATCGATCGCCACAACCTGGCCCCCGCATTTAACACATCAATCAGCTCGACCATGGCGTCAACGCTCAATTTTAGGCGCACTCGCGGCGGCCCCGGCGTCTCGATGAACGACAAGAAGGAAGGCGTCCACGTTCAGGTCAGTACCGCGCACCTTCTCTTACAATCGCCCCCTGATGGCAGCGCACGCAGATGGAGACATTCGCAGCGGTGTCAGAGATACCGGACCCCTCGTTCGTGCAGTACGACGTCACGGGCAACATCATCAAGTCAGACGTCGAGAGCTACGACGCGGAGGCGCAGGCGATCTCGGACGAGTTCAAGCGGCCGCCCTACTGAGACTGCGCGGCCGCGCTCCTCCCGCCGCCCGTGCGTCCCACTACGTTTCCCCCCACGCGCTTCTCCCGCCCCCTTCCACTCCCCGGCCTCTCTTGCTGCCATCTTCCGCCTGCGCTGTGTGCATCCCGGGTTCAGTTTCAGGGTCCGCCTCACGTGTTATCTTGCTTGCTCTCGCATCCGCACTTTCGCCTGCTCTCTCACCGTCGCCCGCGCAACAGCGCGTCATCTGCCCTCTCCTCCCGCGGCTCTCGGCCCCGATGTACTTTTACCCAGGTTCTCGCTCCCGAGCGCGCGCGCGCGCGCGCTCGGGCCCATTCACCACGCTCGCTTTTCCCCATCCTTTCCCAGGGCGCACACTCGTTTCTCGCGCACACCGGCCTGCCGCATGCGCCCATCGCGCGTGCGGCAGGAGGTGACCTGCGCCGCCCCGAGGACGCGGTGTGTACATCCTGTATGCATGCATATATATCCCATATACCTGCCTCCCCCTTTCTTCTCGCATCGCATTCACTTTGCATCGCCGAAACGCAAAACCATATACAAGCTGCTGTTACGGACGTTTCGCTGCTCTACCCTTGCTTTCGCATCTACGGCCACCGTCGTTGTACAGTATACCCGATGCGCAGACTCCATCTCGGCCCGCGCGAGGGCACGGGCGTTCGTGCGTTCTCAGTTTCGCACGAGGGCGTTGTCGTGCAAATCGCCCAAAAGGAGTCGTCGTTTACCAATGTAGAATAATCAATGGGTTCATTATTATAGGAAGGCTGCTTGCCAGGAACATGAACGCGCGGCCGCCATGTGCGCTGCGAAACAGTCGGATGCGACGGTAAGTGAGCTTCGTTCCTAGCTTGAAAATTAGAAACGTGCTGTGCGGATCGTCGTGTGCAGCATTGAATATTTTGAGGGAGGGGGAGCCATTACGGTAGGATGACGCATACGGTCGTCATACAGCAATGTATTCTGTATGCGGTGATTGGCCGTTTCTGGTGCAGCAGCCACACGAGACACCCGTCGACCGCGCCCGGATTGGCTTGAGTAAGGCACGTCGAATGCGATCTCGCCGTGGAAGCGACGCGCGAAGATCCGAACACTCCACCATCTCGACGCCGTATATGGGCATCGTCCGGGGCGCCGAGCCTAGTTTGGTCCGATCGAAAGGGGGGTTGGTATCTCGCGAGTTGAATTTGAGTGTGGGGCTATCGCGGGCCTGTCCGACGCAGACACATGTACTCACACCGCACGACGTGCTGACAGGCATGAGAAGGTGGTACGCGTGAGGGAGCGCTTGAAGCTTCGATCCTGCTGCAGTGTCTGCTGTATAAGCTGTTATGGCAGCCGCGAGCCGTGCCCTGGTTTAACGTTCGTGACGGAGCATTTGCCACGGTCGAACATTGAATAGCGAATTCTGCGTCTTCTCGACCTTCCAATCGGGCTTCTGTCATAATGGTTACCCCAGCTTCAATAGCAGATGCGCTGGGAAATAGACACAACCTAGGACCACCTTCGCGGTCCCTGCGATCCCAGTTGCGAGGGCAGACCCTATGGTCTTAGGCCCACCTGAGGCGCCACGGCCAAGCGCTGCGGGCGGGGATCTGCGACCTGCCCAGTACGTTCTGCGAATATCTGATGATGCGGTCCCGAAGGAAGGCATTAATTAGGCTCCACTCTGCTCAGTGACCGGCGCTGAATCGAGGGCGCATAAATTTTATGATCGCTGGTGAGCCCCGGCAGAAGCTGGGGAAGCCTTGGGCGCGCGAAAGCATCCTGGGATATGCGCCACTTGCCTAAATTGGAGGCTGGGCGTGGGATGCATCGCCGAGGACTGGCGGGGCTGTCGTGAATGTGTCTGCTGCAACGTTGTCGCTCACATGCACATGTCTGTGGCGGCGGCGTAACGCGGCACGATGCGGGCAGTCTCATTACTGAGAGATGGTGTCGACCCGAATGGCAGAATGTGTCCCCCGAGAGGAAATACAGCTTTGAATTGGTCCACGCTGATTATTGACAGCGAGAGGGAGATCGTGCTGTGCTGACAGCCGCTCCGCTTTCCTGTCGGAATGAGCCAGTCACGCGAGGTGGGCATCGTCACCATCGTGCCATCCCCGCGCAACTGTCAGTGGGGCGTAGTCGCGCGGTAACGAGTGGCGTCGAGACAGATGTCGTCCACACAGTGCGTTGTCGCTCAAATTCAGATTCAGCTTTCCCCATGGTGCCTAATATACAGAAGTCTCACCGGTACTGTGCCTCCCCGGGTAGTCGGCAGACCCCCCAAGTCGGCAATTTCATAATATCTCCCTCCACAGTACTCGATTACCTTCGTGCTTTTGTATAGACATAGGTTTTCATATGCCTGCTTTCATTTCCAGCTTGAACGAAAGCGAACGGTACAGTAGTTCTGGAGTCCCTTCCTGAGGACCAGCTCAAGCCGTTGTCACGCTGGTGTACGCCTCGGTTGAAACAGCTTGTGTCGGAGTTTCATTTTCCGATCACGTCAGCGACCTCATTGTATGCTTCGAGCTACCTGCCCATAGAATCCTCAAGCGTTGGCTAAGCGGACCTTGAAATATCACGCGTGATGGATGGTGATGGATGTGTTACTTTTACGTGACTGCCGACTTGGGCGGTCTGCTGACTACCTGGGGAGGCACAGTATCGGTAATGGCAGTGGATCTGCTTGCAGTCATTATTAGCGGAAAGTGTTCCACTCCGACCCTGTGGGGTACCGTGTATGGTGTTTCGCAAAACACTTTGATACTTGAGCCGATCTGCTGGAACGGGTGGAAGTGCTACCGTTTTATCGCTGAGGCATCGTGTTTATCATAACCACGTTTCAAGGTACTATGGGGTGTATAGAGTTGCTCATGGCCGCGTTCGCAAGCCTCGGGTTCACGAAGCACTGCACCTTTTTCCATGATTCTTGTGTCAACAGATGCGTTGAGATCTTCTTCACACCTGTAAATATTTTCAGTGCAATACAATGAGTATTATTTGTACCGGCACGAATCCGCGAGGACAACTCGTCTTGAGGGTGTAATAGGCATAGAGTTGCTCAAATCGTCACGGCATGTCACGGCGACAAGTTCACACTCCGACGCGGCAACGCCCGCCAGCAGCGAGACGAGTATGGTCTTGCAAACGCATCTGTGCGACGTGCCGAGCGGAGTCTGAACTACAGTCACATTCAGCCACAGGAGCAAGACAATCTCACCCACCACGCTTGTCTACATCGTACCTCAAGTGCTTTGAAGTATCGGGTATGTCGATAGACATTTATATCAATAGAGAATGAAGAATGAAAGCTTCCAGAGTGAAATTATCATCGCATTTGGGTGAGATCTAGTTCGATATTTGTGTACACTGTTGTCAAAATGCCTTGTCGAGCATGCTACTCTTTCCACATTCATGATTTTAGTATTTCGGTGCTATGGGGGCATCCATAGGGGCTATATACACTCTCACTGATTTTTTGGGATTTAAAATAAAAATGTGGAAGGCTGTACAAGGAGGTTTGAGCAACTCTATGCCTTGAGCAAGTCTATACACCCCATAGTAATCCATGATGAAATGCGAGCTGTAGAAGGATGCCGGCAGGAAGCGACCAAATTGCCGTGGGTCTGCAAACACAGGTCACGGTAGCAAGTCCAGACTCCGCCACGGCAGAGGTAGCGGCATCGCGACCAAGCCGATCGTCGTGCCACCGCAGATCACGATCGATGGCGGAAATCGAACTCATCACGCATGGTGGCAGGAAGTGTCACGCTCGTTCTGTAAGCCACCCACGCGCTGCGATTCAGTTTACTGACAACATACTGGGTTGGAAGATGATGAAATATGAAAAGAAGATGTCAGACCGGGAGAACGGCTTACAGAACCAGGACAAACAGTGTACACAGACGATCTACAATGTAAGTGAGGTATAGTACAACGCAAGCTGAAGATGGCATCTACTCACCCTCAGTACGGCGCGCTCGGAAGACGAGTGCAAGGCTGAGGATGTTCTACACGACACGGCAAGCATGAGAAGGAAACAGTGAATGTACGGATGGGTAGGAACAAAGCGGCTAAACTGATTACAGTAAATGTCACACGAAACAGTAGGAGGGAGTATACTAATGGAGAACAGGCACGCGCTCCGCGTGATAGAGTAAACAGTAGGATAGGGGAGGACTGTACGATTGCAATTCTAGCACACGTTTTGCACATGCCAAAATCGGTCGATGTCGGGCTGAGGAATATCAAGACAGGTGTTGAGCCCCTTATGGATATCCGTTGTCCAGCGGATCTAACACCGGATCATTAAACAAAAAAAGGTCGGTTATGCCTTTCCGTCGCAGGGGGGATTCCACTCACATTTATTACTCCATCTTTCGGACTATAAGTTCTATAGGCTCCTGTTTATGGATATGCAGGTGCTCCTTCTCATAGATACCCAGTACCAGGTCGATGCTCCCTCTGCTAACGAATTCAGCAGATACGAGGACGACGTTCTCCGTGTCGTAGCTGCACTCAGGCTTTACAGAGCCAGACTTGCGCTCTGTTATACCAAGGCGTTCCTTGTCGTCCTCAATGGCGTCTTCCTCACGTTTGATGGAGGTGCTCCTTATGGCGGGTCTCTGAAAAAAAAACATGTGTGTATGGTAAGAAACGCCGGGGTTCGCCTGACCTGGAGGATAGCAGCGACTGCCTTCCCTGCGCTTCTGGCGAGCTGGAGCCTAGTCACGTTCCCGGGTATGCGCTTTTGCTTGCACTCGGTCTCGGACGGCGGAATGTCGCGGAACTGCAGGGTCAGGTGTAAGGGGGCATACGCGTCGCCTCTGGACTTGGAGCCTGAATACGCACAATCACGCGGAACGACACTTTTCTGCTCCCCCCTTCAAGCTCGGGAAATGCAGGATCGCCAGGATTGGCGAGCCGCGATAGATCGTCGATAAACTTTGATCCCACACTGATGAAGTCTTGTTCGTCGGTAGCGAACTTGACCCTCACGGGCGACAGACGATCTCCCAGCCCGTTGTCGTATGGTATGGTAATGACCTGTGCTTCGCGCTATTTTGCAGCATGCTTAACATAGCGTTGTGCGAAAGGCGGTAGGACACGCGTACCTTGATGACTACTGCAGTATCACCAGTCATGTTTGTAGAAGCGCTTGTCGGTGTCGAAATGCGAATTTGCTGCGCCGTCGCGCTTGGCGACCTGCAGAGACGCTTTGAGACTATCTGAGCATCGTCACGATGCACACTATGCTTGTTCGATTCTCCTGCGTAGCTAGATGCACTCGCCGCCCAGACAGGCTGATCGGAACCGCTGGGCCTTCTGCCGTCCAGGGTGTGTCCTTCCTGAGTCGAAAAGGTGTCCAGGGCAGAATCAGAGGTAGACTGAGAAGGGAGTGGTGAGCGCCGCAGTGGAACTGTATCATGGTGGATGCACGCCGGTTCTCCCCTTGGCATGAATCCTGGTGCGGAGATCTTGTTGTGGACTGGGGAAGCGTCGCCAGACACAGGTGCGAATTCTTCTGCATCCGTGGTCTCCTCAAGCAACTGTGAGACCGAAACACCAGTACAATCGGACTGGGAAAAGGCGTCTGCATCAACTGGCGCATTGAGCAGGTCTTGAATTGCCATGCTCGGGTCCAAGCCGCGGCTACTGTTGTCCGGCGCGGTATCGAGAGGGATCGACGTAATCTGCGCACCTGCATTGAGCGGCCCTTGGAGGAACAGGCTGGGTGTTTGAGCGTAATACGCCGCTGGAACAGTATCGAAGTATGGGCGCGATGACCAGGACTCATTCATTGCGTCAGACACATAGCTTGCTGGAGAGGAGCCGCTGAGGTGTGCCGGTGAGGAGAAAACGCAGCGAGAAGGAACGCTGGACGTGCTCGCCATCGAATTTGCCGACCCGTCGACACCGGGGGCACAGTGATAGTCAGACACAATGATACTGTAATGATCGGAGGAGCGATGGGTGCTTCTCTTCGCACTATATGGTGCGTATCTTTGGCGGGAGGGTTTAGCATGACCTCGCTGCAAACATCGGTCTGCATCGATCGGCATGCTGGCGATGTTATTGTACGGCATATCTGCAAGGAGTGCCGGGCTTGTATAGTCCGTCACGGTGTCGAAGGGCGCTGGCGAGGGCTGAGCAGGGTAAGATGGAGTAATGTAGGCGTAGGTCATAGGGCCTTGAGGGTATATTGGAGAAATGTGAGGGTATGTGTGCGCTGAATGCGGAGGATGCGTCGTGAAGTTCGTGATGGCATGTGAGTACATGGGCGAAATAGCTTCCAGAGGAGTGATACTGCTCGCCGGAGAAGAATAGAAGGCTTCGGGTCCCACATGCGGGTAGGCTGAATAGTTGGAGCCACTGTCAGCAAACGGCTGAGGGGGAATGAATGAATGCTGGGCTATACAAGGAAAAGGTTCAATTTTTATGTGGTGTTGAGGCTATAGGATAAAGCGGAGTACACTGCGCCTGCGCCCGATTCCCTGCGTTATGTAGATGGCCAACAGAGGTCGAGTAAATGCCGGGGTGCGACGGGGCGTGATCGAGAGAATGATACAATCCTCTGGCATCGTTAAATAATCGGTTATCTATCGGGTAACTTGAAGTAGGGAAGGTGGAGCTTGCGTAGGCCAGCCTCGCAGTCATCTGGGAGGGATAGGCTGCTTGAGTTGTGCTGGCGGGTATCCTCATCTGCTCCTGAGACGGTACATTCCAGTACGGACTATAGTCAGGATGGGCTGTGAAGATGTCATTGCGGGTTAGATAACGCAATCACCATCGGAGGGCGGACCTGTGATGTTCCCGATTGGCATAGGGATCCGTGGTATCAGCATGTCGTTGACGAACATGGAGGCGGCGTACGTGGACGAAGCCTGCAACATGTTCCTGCCGCAGAATGTACCTGGAAGAATGCGGGCTTGCTCCTCGGTCATTCTGGTAGTGAATGAAGCGGGATCAAAGGATAGTCTGAAGTGGGTGTAGTATCGGAGATGCTGAAACGATTGTCGATGGCTGGAGTATTTTGCCTCTGGCTCTGGCTGCAAAGATGCATCCGGAAACTGCAAAAGGAAGCCGCAGGCATTGGCAGAGCAAACGGTATAATATCTTGAGTCGAAGTGGTAAACACATACGGATATGGAAAACATACAGATTGAATGGCGGATAGTGATGGGCACACCTGGCGCTGTCAAGAGTGAACCCTTTTTCTGGAAGCCGTACTCTTGAGGAGCAGGGGGGTACTTGGCAGGAAGCCTCACTATATCTACATCGGCCTCCCCTTTGCTCTCACGACCTGGATAACCGCCACGAGGTTTGAGACACTGGAACGGCACGCTAAAGTAGGCGCTGAGCTCACGAGGCACTGGAATAAGATGGATATGGCTTGTTGGTCGTTCAAGAAGCACATAGGGCGGTGCCCATGCTGACAGTGCATGTCGCATTCTAGTCGTTATGATAAGTTATGTGGCCATGATGATGGGCTAGATCTTGACTGATTCTATGAAACGGCCACAGAATAACAAATAACTGATCACGCGGTGACTCTCGTACCTTCCCTACAAGCTTCAGCGCCTAGATCCTCACGCCGTACAGCTTTATAACGCGATGTTGGTGGGGTGCCTTCTTGCTGTTGGCTGTGACAGAAGAAGGATGAGTGAAGCTGATACAAGCACGACGCAAGGAAAAGAAAGAATAGTGGTTGAACATTGAACATGGACGCTTGTGTCTGAATTTCATTCATGTGAGAACATGAGCGCGGAATCTGTCAACATAAGGTTCCGAGCATTCAATCCATTTCGTGAGAAAGAATAGGGGCTATACCAACCCCAATATCCGCAGAATAGAGTTGCTATTACAATTGATTCGAGCCTTGGGTGCCCATCGTTCTTGAAACGATCCCTTCCCTCAGGTTCAAAAATGGATAACCGTCCGCGTGATTGCGCGTGTCATCGATACAGCGTATGCCAGAACTCCATCAGCTTCTGGACATGTATACACTGCCATTCCGCAAGCCACTCGACCATTCCCATTCGGCAAGTGGCATGGCGATTGATATAACGTGAATATGAGTGCACACGAATCTTTGACTAACAGATGTACAGCAGATTGGGCTTAGCGATCGCATCGTAGATTCCGATACGCTTTGTTGAGGTGGATCGACTGACCGGTTATACATGGTATGCTGGATATAGAATTGGACACGGGTGCTTGTGACAGGCACCCTATACTGTATCCCTGCCGGACGGGAGACACATTTTCGTTGTGAGTACCTTTTTTAAGTCGTAAGAAGAACAATACAGACAAATGAGAACGGATAAACCCGTAACTAACGACATACACTTACCATTTGAACCTCATGCTAATATCTTCGTCGACCGCCAAATTTTGCGGTCGACTGAGGAGTAATGTTTTCAGTGATGGGGCTGTCGACGGGTTGTCCTTTTGTGCATACAAAAGTCTGCGTTTTGGATCCATCCAAGGCAGACGGATTGTGACGAATGCAGCAAAGACACTCTTCATATGCTGCCTTATATCTACTCAAATTGTTCTGATAGTGCCAACTGCGAAACCAGTGTACATACCTGTTGCGGCCGTTGGAGTTTTTATCTTTGCCAGGGGTTTTTGATAGGTCTTGGCCGCTGAGCGCAGAAGTATGTCAACCGCAATGGATCTCGAGGCGGCCATGAGAATTTGTTGGAGTGCCAGGAAAGCTGACGACATGACCCGCTACATCCAGACGGTCAACAGTGAGTATTGTGGTAAGCTGCCAAGCCCTCATCCGAGGCGTCATATCGTGTTTCACCAATGAACAATCCGAATCGACGCTTGGATTCCGACGATGCGCCTCAATAAGGATGTTCAAATCTCGTCCGACGCTCGCTCCCTCAGCCATCAGCGATCGACGCGACGCGGCCAAAGTTATGCCTTCGTGCGCGGCTTGTTCAGCACCAGCTGTATTCCTGTAGGTTCTATCTGCAAAACCATGAGCTACCATGAGACTTGCGATTGGAGCTCGCCGTGTCGCTGACGATCGCCGGTGGCTGAGGGATCAGTCGGGGTTAGAACTACCTACCAAAAAGGGTGGGCGCTCCACGAGAGAACCAGCAAACAGGACCCCGAATACTCACCCCAGAGGTCCGATCCAGCTGTTTCGGGGGTAGATAAGATAAGATTTGTTACGATCTAAGCGCGGGGACTTCAGGAACATTGCATATTTCGACGTAACTTGAGGAGAACTGTCCATCCCCCAAGTTAGGGCGAGATCTGTGACAGAATGCTCTCATAAAAGGCAATATACTGCTAAAAGTGAGTCTTTTTTATGGTCTTTTTTGGTTTTTTTTGGAATCGGACCTCTGAGGGGATTTTCCGGGGTCCTCAGCGAACGACAAAGATTGAGCAACCCTATAGGCAGTGTTTGTCAGACGGCATCTTGCATAACCCTGGCTAGCCTGTGTATACCTTCATCATGTCTCTGAACACCAAGCCGAGCGCCAAGTTGCGACTATGAACCCCCATTTAGGTTGAATGAAAGATGTCAACTGGTATGTTGCACTATCGTAGCAGGCTTTGGTTTGATTTCCCAGCCATTCGTGACAGATAATACAGTTCTGGTCTGCACAGGGCTCACATTTCGGTACCAACGGCCAGTCCATCAGTTTGCTCATCCTGTCGGTATTGGGTCGCATTACATAGATGAATCTCACTTGCATTCAAATGTCCATCAGGAGTCCTTGCATCAGAAGACGACATCGCTCACGTGTTCAAGTCGAACGCGAGGGATAATCAAGCAATTTCCGAGGCTTTCTCGCACTTGGCGAAGACGGAGCTGGAGCCTAAGACGATCCCCGTGTTCAAGGTGCCGACTATGAGGCATGGCTGCTATCGGAGATAAAAGCACGTGCCTTAACGGCGGCCATCTTCCTGGGGTTCGCAAAGGCAGTAATTGATGCAGGCCTGGATCGCGTCGTCTCCGCTGGTGGTATGGCCTGGAGTTACGCACGTGGGCTCCGTCTTTGAAGATGGATAGAGGCATCTACGGACGTGGACGAAGAGACCATGCACGCACTCCTCAAATGAAAGAGCGAGCGACGAGGTCTAAACAGTCCTAACGGCGTCCGTCATGTCGGTCTTCCGTTGGCTCATCCGCGTCGTTACGCCTGATTGCTAGCGATATAAAGCCCTGAACATCATGGCGCTAGTTCTAAGGGGCACAGGTACTCAAGGGCCTATTTCGTCTCCAGGCAAATACGAAACCAACGTCATCATTCAGTCTTTGCGCCCTCCGAGTATAATCCGACCTTCAAGAACATCTCCGGAGTCTCACTCTCCCTGCTCGTAGTCGGGTAAATAACCCCAGCCAAGTTCCAGATGATCGGCCTTCCCGTTGGCTCGAATGTGAACGCAGACAGCAAAACCGAGAGAAGAACCTCTGCATAGATCGAATGATCAGCTAAGTCCTCCCAAGGTTTCGTTATTGCTCACTCATTTCCATCTCCGAGAATTTGAAGCCGCTACGACATTCGGAAAGGTGTGAGAAACCCAGACATAAACTCAAGATATGATCTTGCTCACATGCAAGCTCGTTTGCCTCCGAGGAACGTCATGCTAGGTAAGCGTGTGTCAACGTCGTACGTGCTATCTGTGGATGTTGCCCTGACTCACAGATGCGAATATACTCCTGGGATCGGAGCTTCGAGCACAGCCGTTGGCAAGCCATTTACCCATCGCTCGGGCTTCCATTCGGTCGAATCTTCTCCCCAAAGCGATTTCTTGACATTGCATGCCCAAGCACCAACCAGCACCTCAGTTCCCTTGGGGATAGGTATCTCCTTGATGATTGTACCGTCGACCCCAACGACGGGCTCACTCAAGGGGAGAACAGTGTCCTTGTTGGGCCTAGAGGACACAATGTCAACCCTCTATGATGTCTCTGAGAATATTACACGTACACCCGCATTACGGTGGTTCCAATTGGATAGCTAAACAGGGGCTATAAGTACATCACCGTAGGCTTTGTCAGATAGTCAGGAGACTCACAGGCGAAGAGTTTCGCGACACACGGCGTTCAAGAATGGAAGTTTGTTCAACTCATCATACGAAGATTTGTTGTGGGCGCCGGCCGCGAGTATCTCCTGGCGCAGCTTATCCTGAACATGTGGACGCTCGGAAAGGATATGCAGAATGCGGGCGACAGTGTTGGATGTAGTATCCACCGCTGCGAAAACCAGTGTGCTGGATCGACACGCAACAATGAGTGGTGGCCAAACGGGGAGAATCAACGTAGTCCTCACGACATCTGGCCGATCAACTCCTCTTCCGAAAGGCGATCGTTTTCTGATGCCAACTCGTTCGCCTTCACTGGTATTGTTAGCAATCGCTCGTACGGCATTTAATGTTTCAGGTGTTCGACATACTCAGGACACTCATAATATCTTTTCCCTTGCCAATTTGTTCCAGAACCGCTTCGTCACCATCGGCGAGCGCCTTCCTCTTGGACATGAAGATTCGCACCGACCTTGCGCTCATAACGTCGACGATGGACCTGAGTTTCTGAACCGCTGCATTCGGCATCAAACTGATGGCCAGCCGTCTGACCCCTGCTGGTACTGTGAGAGGCATATACGGTAGAAGTCGCTGCAATATGTCAACATCCATTAGCCTTGGGCTATCGTCGCACATGAGTACTCTTAGAAAGCGGCAACGACCGAGCTTTGAGCTTACAACAGGGCCTTCAAAGCTGCGCCGTAGTCGTCCTTCATATCCGAGACGAAATCGTCGAAGGAATAGCCTAGCCCGCTCTGGCCGATCAGCTCGAGAGCAACACGGCCGGTCCATGCTAGTATGTCGATTTCCGATTGTCCGCTTTTGACTTGGAGCGAGATCGCATCTCGCAGCTATATGAATGCTGCGTCAGCTATGAGTACATGATGTCAACTGCTTCGTACCCTGTATATGACATCGTAGAATAACGGAAGCATGTTCCGCATGTGAGCGACGGAGAAAACAGGGTTCAAGATTTTCCGTTGTTTGCGGTGCTGGTCGCCTTCAAAGTAACTTCATGAAGTGAATGACAGCGAAAGTCGATTTCTGTCTCTTACCCAATGTCGCCAACAGACCTGGCCCAAATATGAGCTTATTTCCCCTATACAGAACGTGAGTAGTTGCCATATCGACCAAGCTGGAGTCACGTACAAGATAAACGACTGAGATTCCTCGAAGATGTGCTCCTCTTTGATGATCATTGTATGCAGTGCCGTAGGATCGGAGACGAAGACAATTGGACGCTGTAAACACATTAAATTATGATTCGTCATAAAGATTGCGAATAGGTCATACATTGAGGAAGCCTCTCAGCTTGACGACAGGCCCGTAGTTTAGGGCTACATCTGTTTGGAACGGCCATGCGTGACGATGGAACATCTCCCCGAGGGAGCCTGTATGAGGTGGAATCAATAGTGAGGATCCACGAAGAGTATAAGAACTTGCCTTTGAGGAAGGAGCGCGAGGGAGGCCCCGGTAGGTTCTCCAGAACATGGTTTTTGCGCCGTTGGGACCGCTGCCACGCGTACCAAGCAGCACCTCCGGCCAAAACCAGAAAGAGCACAGTGGGCAAAGTATCCATGGTAAGGGCGCAGGGAGAGACCTTGCTGATCTTAGAACAACAACATCCATATATACGAATACGTGGCATCATCAGGACTTAGTCCATCCGGAACATTGAAAGTATACATGATTATGTGGGTCATCTTCGACCGTGAGCACGAATGACAACGTAGTAGCTGTTATATATCCAGGTAATCTACGCGAATGCTTCTCGAGACTGTAAGCGGCCGCGTACTCAGCTTCAGGAAGCTATTCGTGAGACATGGAAGATGGTATTCGCCGGCGTCTTGACCTCAACCTCTAGGGCGTGCCCGGAGGAACCTCATGTTCTTCTATCGAGGCGCGAATCATGGTGCGAATAAGGAGGTATCGTGGAATCCTGCAGAGATAAAGACACAATCATGACTATGTAAAAGTCTCCTTAGATTCAGTCGATGACATCCAGTTGATCCGTTCAGTCATCAGTAACACCACCAGTTTACTTATCCTACTTACATCTCGAAATAAGTGCCATTAAAAGATCGATCAAGTTCTTATTCTTACTTACTGTGCCATACCGGGTAGTCGGTAGACCCCCAAGTCGACACCCTTGCCTGATTGGCCCAGCCAAAGTTATTGATCGGATTGCGAACATCCCGAGAGATTCCGGGGAATCCTGCTTTCTGATTGGCGGTAGGTCAGGCCTGCCGACTTGGGGGTCTGCCGATTACCCGGTATGGCACAGTATCTATTTAGTTACTCACACTTACATACTATTTTCGTCTATTTTAACAGCTCGTGCGAGACAAACAGATAAGAGACGAGATCGTCATATTCTACTTGTCACAGGAGTTAAATGCAAATAAGAGCGAAACGGCGTCCCCCCGCTCCGCGTCCCACTGTGGCTCACAAGCGCGAGCGCTCCGCCGTACGTTTCCCCCTGCATCGACGAAGCCGGTCCCCGGAGTAAAAGGGAGAATCCGCTAGTCTAGCAGCCCGCAGTGAGACTTCTCGCATCACACTTCCACTGCCAGTGCAGCTTCATGTCAGCCTCGCGCTTAGATGTCGGGATGCATTCCGGCTCTAGGCACACTCATTCGCACCTCACTCCCCCTGTCAGTATACTTCCTCTCCTCTCCCGTAGGATGTACTGCTTTTCATTGCGCGCATCCTGAGGCCCCTTGAGCTTCCCGCTGGTCGTCAAAGACCGGGTGCTGTCCTTCTCACCTGACTTTGGCGGGACACGCTGTTTGCCATTGCTGTATGGTTTCGTTGAAAGAACATTTCGGGGCAAGGCAACTGTGAGCGGGTGACGCGCGCTTCTGTCCAAAGAGCGATCGTAAGTGATTCGACCCTTGTCTCCACGCCGACGTTGTCATCGCTAGCGATAGATACGCACTGCGTGGAGCGTGGCTGGCATGACTGGTTGCGTAACTGGCTGACTCCCCCATGAGGTCCTAATATCCATCTGAGATTCAGACCCGGAATATCGACCACGGTCTCGCCCCAAGTACTGTTCTCTAGACAGATTCCGAAGTCGAGGCTGGTAAACGGCCTTCGAGACTGGGCAGCGACAGGATAAGCTCGAAGGAATCTATAGCAGTCGAACGTCGTTCAGAGACACGTCAAAGTGCGAACGCACAACGGGATTTCAAACATCCACGAAATATGGATATGACATTCAAGGAACGTCTGCCGCTGCGAGGATACGTAGAGAAAGACTCACGAAAAGTAAAAATTGGCTCGATCTCTTCTAGTATTGAAATTGGCATATCATGATCCTGGAGTGAGAGGCCGTTGAATCGTCCAACGGTCATTGCGTATTACATACTGTAAGAGCTGATCAGGCGTTTGAAATGATACAGCAACGAACGCTCCCTGAGATTGGCTGCGCAATATAGTGATACGATGCCAGCGGACCCTATGACAAGACCGAATGTATGCAGGTTGGTGAGATGATTCTTCTCGACGAGCAGCCCTGTGCTAAGAGCGGAGAGGTGCCGCGAACGCTCGAGCTCGAGCTCGAGTTTTGAGACCTTGAGTGTCGTCGAACGTAGATTCGCTGAGGTAATATGCAGCTCATCCTCGAGGTCAGACACCCTGTCATACGAGCTCACCAGCTTGCTATTGAGCTGGGAGACCTGCGAGAAGAGATCCTGGATTTGTGACCTCAGTGACGCGACGACCATGGCCTTTGCATCAGGGTCGCTATCATGTCTCTGCAGCTTTGCATCGCTACCGTTGGAGCCTGGGACGATATGAGTCTTCTCCTCGAGATAGTCAGCCTCCTGGTTGAGTTCGTGCATCTCCGTGTCGACGGAGTGCGTTCGGGAGTGCGCCATTTTCAGAGCAATATTGCGAGTTTCCGCGCGACGTCAATCGAGAACCGGCTCGACAGCGAGTGGCGGGGGCTTCAGGATTAATGCGAGCGAGATAAAGAGCAATAGTGTAAGTGAGGCTGAGATGAGATGAGACACCAGTCGTGGACGATGGCAAGCGACGACGAGTGACGCGACGACGCGGGCCGCGGACTTGATCTCAAACCTGCTGGGACTTCTTTGAAGACTATCGATGCATTTCTTAAAACGATCTCTCAAGCACAGATCCATGGTTCCTAGTCTGGACGTCGAGCCTTACAGTCAGTTGTCTTACGACGCCGTTCACTTCTTAAGTTTGCTCGCTTTTGTGCATTTGGGCGCGCGCACTATCGGTCTCTCTCCTTTGGGTCATCAATCTCGGCTGGTAAAGCTGGCAGGAGTGCATCATGGAAGGGTTGGGCGCCGTCATTAGCGAGCAACGGGCCTTGGCATGATGGTTCTTTTAATCGTGCGTTCAATGTTTTCGAACGCATAATCTTACACTTGATGGCCTACATTTCAGGGCATCCCGATTTTGCCAGGCTATTCTATCTATGTCTGTTGGCCACAATGTCTTTGACCGAGGTGATCACATCTTGTTGACTTGCCTGATTTACTTCACAAAGCTACGTCGGGAACCATGACTTAACAGGTTTGTACACCGATGTGATTGATTCAAATACGTCATATCCTTGATACGCGGACTGGGTCCTTGACGTCACGTTGTCCACCCGTACGATTCAACTTTAGATACGCGATTCTCACTGAGTCGGACATATACTGGGTGCGCAAGGCTGCGATTAGTTTTTCTCTAAGCCTTGACATAGCACATTCCACAGCCAACCCTCGCCTCAGATTAGGGGCTAGACTTCTTATGCTAGATTCCGGTCTCACTAGCATGCACGTACTACAAAGCCTACGATTTGTTCGCAGGAGCCCTCGCAGATGACAATGCAAACGAGTACGCTCTGTCACCATTCACCGAGAGCTATGTCGGCATAGTATCCACGACGCTATTTGCGGAGGTTCTCCTACCCTGCGGGTACTCTTCGCAAACTGATCTGCAAAAGCGCTACGTCTGCGGTTCAGAAACTTAAGTCTCCTCGACTTCTCACTTTGGTCGACTTGTTCAATTTCGCTCTCATATTCGCTGTCTCCGCCGAGCACATTCCCCTCGCCGTTGCATTGTGCACATCTATAACTTGATACAGAATCAGTAGTACTCTACTGAGTATCAACGACATCAGTAGGGTTACTTATACATGGAAGTGACGAAGACTGTGGCGCTCACTATGCAACTTTGTTCACACAATTGCCGAAGCACGGCTCGCATCATGCCTTCTTGTGAGTAAACTATGTTCACATGTCATCCACAGAACCGTAACTGACTCTTGTAGCCCCATTATTGCCCACAACAGTGTCATGGGGCTGCCGAATCCTTATCTCGACGCTCATGTCCGTGGCAATGTTGTTTTCTACATCGGGACGATATCAAATTGTTCATTTCGTGTATGTTATAGTGAGTATGATGTTCCCAATGTACAAAGAACTTTACACTACCATTCCCCCGTTTCCGTGTCGCAATGTTGACTTTTGACGAGGCGTTGAATTTCTCGACCATCTTGTCCGCTCTGGCTTGTCTGTCTGCTGGTGTCATAACCTTGTTGCTCTTACTTCCCTACTTCATCGACCAGCTTCAGCTTCGAGAGTATCCTGGAGCGCTCCTCGCAAAGTTCACTTCGGGATGGATTTCTTGGATTATAAGTCGCAACCAGTGGTCGGAGACTGTAGATCGTCTGCATGTCCAGCATGGTCAGTCTCCGTGGCACTTTGCCTGGTTGGACGCTAAGTCGGCATGTTCTATAGGCTCATTTGTTCGCCTCGCCCCCAACCATGTCTCTGTTTCCGGTCCCTCTGCCTTCGAGGCCATCTACGGCCATCCTTCCAGCGCAGCAAAGGCGCCTTTCTATGACATCTTCAGTGCTGGTGGGGCCGCGAATATCTTCACCACACGCGATCGTGCAGAACATGCACGCAAGCGACGTGTCGAGGCGCATATGTTCTCACCTCAGAGTATACGAACCCTTGAGAGTACTGTGAGCGTGCACTTCCATGCCCTGGTGGATCAATGGGATGCTCTGTGCGCACATATACAGAAGGCTGGCAGCGGAGGTGCAGAGGGCATCATCGGATCAGTCTCGTGGAAGGTCCACGAGAGCAGAGTATGGTTTGATTGCATGCCTTGTGTGTGCTTTCGATTGTTTTCATCGCGAGTAATCTAGCTCTCATGCATATTCATCCCCACAGGGTTCATGTTTTGGTCTTTTGATAGCATTGGTCAGCCCAACTCATTGCCAGCTCGAGTACTCGCATCGACTAATCGTATATATTGCGTCGTATCATGTTGAAAAACCATGTAGCCGATCTCTCATTCGGACGACCCTTTGGCATGCTTGTATCAGCAAAAGATGTTGTTCGCATCCCCAAGTCGAATGCGAGCGGCATTCAAGCCATCGCTGAAGCGGCCTCCCATTCAAAGAAGACGGAGCTGGAAATGGTGGAGGTCCCCTTGATTGAGGTGCTCGTGAAACGTGGAAAGACCATTGCTGCTCTCGCATATCTCCCAGCATGGGCTCAGCCTATCATCGGCCGTCTTCCTGGGTTTCGCGAGGGATATGGCGCTATACCGAAGCTAAATGGCATAGCTATCGCGGCTGTTGCCGACCGACTTCGGTCTCCAAACGGACGTGCAGACATGCTCACGAAGCTCTTGGAAGGAAGAGACGGGGAGGGGTATCGTTATGGACCTCAAGAGTTGAGTGCGGAAGCAAAAACACTAATCGCTGCCGGCGGAGACACGACCGCCAGGTCAGCTAGTGTGCTACCTGTGTTCCAGGAGCTAT